GTCCGCTCGTGGAGCCGAGCTGCTTTGCAAGGGCGCAGGCGACGGGCACAGGCACAAGCGTGCGGCCGGGAGCGCCGCAAACGCGCGTGCCGCCGAGCTGTCGGCTCATGGCGGCAGCGTGCCGCAGAGGGCAGCGCGAGGCGACATGGGGAGCAGGGACAGCGTGGCGCGGTGCTCCAGAGCGCTCTCCGCAAACGACTCATAGCGTGGCGCGACGGCACGGGCGTGCTCCGAAGGAGGCGGCAGCTGTCGCTCCGGTCCGCGGCTTTCGGCCTGTCGCGCATCGTGCGCAGGGCGCTTGCGGCTTGGCGCGACACCGCCAAGGCAGAGCACCACAGGCGCGACGGCATGGCATTCGGTTTTCGTTTCGATCAGCGCGCGAGGAGGCGTGGCCTGGCGCTCGCGGCTTGGCGCGCGCGCGCTGCGGCACTGCAGCCGCTGCGGGCCGCGGAGCGAGGCTTGCGTGCACGGCGTGCGGCACGTGATCGGCGGAAGGCGTTTGCACAGCTGGCGCTGAGGCGCGCCCATCGGAGGCTGTCTCTGCTGGCCACGGCGCAGCTGCGCTCGCTGGCGGCCGGCGCCGCGCTGGCGGTGTGGCGCGGCCAGGCCGGCCTGAACCTGGCGGTGCGGCGGCTGTCGGCGGCGGTGCTGTGGCGCGTGGGGAGGCGGTCCTTCCACGAGTGGCTGCGCTTCATGGCCGCTACGCAGCGCGCCAAGGCACCCCGCAGAAGGCGTCTACACCACCAACACCGCGCCCGGCCAGGGCGATCCCGAACCCCAGGATGGTGAGCAGACCCTCCTGGCCTCGGCCAGGAGGGCGTCCACACCATGCCAGGGCCCAGGATCGCCCTGGCCTGGCGCGGTGGTGGTGCACAGATGCCCCCCCCTCCTCCTCTCTTCCTCTCCTCCTCCTCCTCCTCCTCCTCCTCCTCCTCCTGCTCCTCCTCCTGCTCCTGCTCCTGCTCCTGCTCCTCCTCCTCCTCCCTCCTCCTCCTCCTCCTCCTGCTCCTCCTCCTCCCCTCCTCCTCCTCCTCCTCCTCCTCCTCCTCCTCCAGAGGTGACCAGCCGCCGCCGCCGTACGGCGCTGCTCGGGCGCTGCACGGGCGCGTGGTCGGCTCGCGCGCGGCGGGCGCGGGCGCTGCGGAGGCGCGTCGACGCCATCGCGGCCTGCCGCTGCTTGCGCGCACGGGGCCTGTCGCTGGCGGCGTGGCGGGCGGCCGCGCG